GCGGAAAAGGATGGAAAAATCCACGAAGTGTACTGCCTGTGCAGGGGGGACGTGGCATTCTTCGAGGGCGATAAGCAGCTGGAAGGACCGTAGAGGTTAAGGGCAGAAAAGATAGAAGTGCAGAAGAGAGGCTCGAAGGGAGACCAAGGGAGGAAGGGAGCGGTGATGGTCAGGGAGAGGGGGAGGGCGAATGGAGCGGTGGAATTGACGCTGGAACTATTCGGGATTTATTTATGGAAGTGAAGGATTAAGTGCAACGGCACCATTGATGGTACACAGAAGGGAAGGGAAGTGGGAGGTATGGCAGAGAAGGAAGGCGACAGAACAGATGAGGGAGGGGATAAGAGCGGTGTCAAAGATGTGGTCGAAGGAAGGGAAAGGGGCAGGGGCGAAGCTAAAACCGGAAGAGTTCGCGCTACATTCGGGAAGGATAGGTGGGGCGACGAGGCTGGCCGCGAAAGGGGTACCGGAGGCTGTGATAAAGAAGGAAGGGAGGTGGTCGTCGAACGCATTCATGGCATACCTCAGGGCGAATATGCAAGACCCAGCATGGGTGTCGGCGGTGTTGGAAGAAGGGGAAGGAGTATTAGAGATACAGCTGGGGCAAGGGACGGAATGGGGAAGAAATCGGGAAGAGGCATCCAGAAGTAAGAAGAACAAGACTTCGTGATGGGGAGGTTTGTGTCCAAGCTGGGCAACCAGCGGAATGTGGTCAGCCTGGTTCTTATTACTAAAGGAAGCGTGTGGATTCCTTAGTAGGCTTAAGGGCCGGGAGGGAGGGAGAGAGTTCTACCTCCAAGACCCGGCCTTTGCGCGGCGACACAATAATAAAAATGGCATTTTTCGGGAAGTGAAAGACAAAAGTGGAAGGTTGTGTTGTACAACCTGGTGTTTTGTCAGAACGGCTAGAAAGATCAAAGGGGGGCGCCGTAGGTAAGAGAGAATTGATAGATAGGTAGGCATGTGTAACGGAAAGAAAAGAAAAAGAAAGAGATGCACCTTGCTCACAACAAAAGAAACATCTGAACGAAAGAGCAAGACAACAAACAAACAAGAGGAGGAGTAGAAGAGAGGCAGAGGAGGAAGAAGAAGGAAGCGAGTGTACGGAAGGGAGGAGACAGACAGAGAAAGAGAGCAAGAGCATCGTCGGTTCGTTTTTTTTTTTTTTTTGAAGCCGAGGTAGGCGTGTCGCGGGCGGAAGCTAGACATGGGTAGCGTGTTCTAGGCTGAAGCAGGGCATGGGAAGGCAAAAATGATGGTGGTGGACAAATAGGGTCAAGGTAAGCGTGTCTCTGGCTGCTGAGCAGCAGGGCACGGAACGACCGGTTAACCCTTTTGAGTCTTCAGGCGTTCTCACTGATCATTGATTGATCATTTGCAAATGCTGGTGTAGTGGCAAGTCGTGGAGTTGCCGCCCTGCAGCCCTTCGCGCCGCGTATTGGCAAGTCCATAGGTAGGTGTGTCTAGATTATTAGCACCCGCGCTAACCGGCTGACCAATGAAGAGACTTCAGTGACAGCGGGTAATATCAAGGTCTCGGGAATTGGAATGGGGTCAATCAATGCCAAATCACGAATCTCTCAACGTATGCACATGTCAATGAACGCGTGTGTGCATACATACATACATATATATATATATATGTGTTCTTTCGCAGCACCACACAGACACTCGCCCGAACGTAGGAAGCCACTGCTGCAAAGAGCAGAGGGCAGCAAAAGGGAGGGGTATTGCAATCCCTGCCGAAGCCCAGATATCGAGGATATCGTGGTTCCCAACAATTTGAAAATCGTTCCCAAGATCCAGCAGTCATTGTGTCAGCAGCTATAACGAACGCTGCAACAACACTACTACTACTGCTGTAGACGAGTAAAACATATCAGCAACACATCCACACTCGTAGCGCCACACATACCACCCTCGCCCGAACCTAGGAAACCACGAGGTACAGGTGTGTGCTGGTGGATGTGCTTGTTGTTTGAAAAACACAGGAGCTCTAGAGAGCTGGCAGGGCACATATTTCGGGGGGGGACAGAGAACAGAGAAGTACAGAAGTACAAATACCAGCTATGGGTCTTCACTGATCATTTTGCCCTCTCTGGACTGATCATTTACAATATACCGAAAATAGACTAGTTGAGGCAGCTAGACGACTGATCATTTCGAAGTCTACACAGCTAACCTGCCCTACTGACCACAGCGCGACCACCTATCAACCCTTCTACGACCCTGTCTGTGGCCACCACCCTGTCGCCGGCTTCTCTCATGGCCTACAGGTGGAGATAGCTGTTGCGTGTGCAGAAGTACACTGGTGTATTTCTCTGCACTTCTCTCTCTCCCGCTCGCTCTCGCTCTCATTTTGTTTTTTTTGGCGCAAACAAAAAAATCTGACAGTCCAGCCTAGACCCAAAGGGGTTAAGCCGAGGTAAGCATGTTGTTGGCGAGAGCGAGACATGGAAATACCAGAAGGTTGAGGAAGCATGTTCTAGGCTTGAACAGGGCATGGAAAGGCTGAATAATGCGAAGGGTGTGGTCAAGGTAAGCGTGTCTCTGGCCAGAGGGCAGGACATGGAACGACCGGTAAGCCGAGGTAAGCGTGCTCGGGCAAAAGCGAAGGCTTGATTGAGCAGAGCATGGAAAGGCATGGAGGTTTGTGTCCAAGCTGGGCGACCAGCGGAGTGTGGTCAGCCTGGTTCTTATTACTTAAGGAAGCGTGTGGATTCCTTAGTAGGCTTAAGGGCCGGGAGGGAGGGAGAGAGTTCTACCTCCAAGACCCGGCCTTTGCGCGGCGACACAATAATAAATAACGTTATGGACCCCACCAGCTGGATCCCCCTCTACAAGGCTTCGATCGACACAAAAGTACACTGCAGGAGTTTTTTGTGATCGATGCACGCACAGCGCACAGCAGCAGGCAGCACCTGGGGCCGCGAACAGGTCAGGGAATCCCGAGGCATAGCGCCAAACGCCTGATGTGGGTAAAAGCGAACACTGCCTTCTATTTTCTTGCAGAAGGCTTCGTCAACCCCCTTACCACGCACAGAAAATTCGGCGTTCTTGCGATATTTCTGAAATGTACGAAAAAGAGCGAACGACGCCTGCTGATTGGATGGTGCAGACAGTTCCATCCCTGGGTGCAAGTGCAAGGCTGCCTTCCCACTTGAGCCGTCTCTTGTCTATAATCCCTATCAATTGTCCCCTCGTATCGAGGGACAATTGATAGGGATTATAGACAGCAACTGGTGGGAGCGTGGTAAACGGGGCACGGAAAGGAGGTTTTCAATACATTTCTCTAGAGGGAAAGCGAGACCTTCTAACTCAAGCCCTAGGCTGCTCGGTGCCTCCTTTCAACCGTGGGCTAGGTACTTCTTCCGCGCTTGCCCCTAGTAGCGCTTAGGTCACCCAAGGGTAGACAGACGCGGCGCAACTTCGCTGTTGAACCCGCGGCGTAATCAACTCGCGATTCGACCTGTTCATTACCCTCATACTCCTCCACTCTACAAAGCATCCATACTACATAGACTAGAGTCGTCCCCGTGTACCCTGGCACCCCCCTGGTCGAGAAGTGGAAAGGAGGAGACAATCATGCCATTCTTCGCAAGGCAAAGCAGGTGAAGAAGATGGGGACAAAAAGTGTCCCCACAAGGCGATCCAGCCCAAAGGGGTTAAACACCACCAGGCACCCACTGCCAGATCTGCCCCCGCAACACTCCAATTGACCCAAGACATGTATGTACGAATGTATTGCTGCGTTGCAGGGCTATCGTGAGACCCATGGTGAGGCCGAACGATGAAGGTTTTGTGGCACCACAGTCTGTGGGGTGAACAACGCATAGTATGTCCCACCGTCCGGTGTGGTCGAAAATGAGTTCAACACCCTGCCAGCTGTATCTCGTTGTACAAGACTCCAATCGAAGCAGAAGCGCCATGGTTAGAGCGTGCTGTTCAATAACACATTGCGTGCACGACGCAGTACACAGCACGCAGCACACACAGAGCACCGCAGTAGCCCTGCGTTGGGCAAGTCAGTTCTGTGCAACGATTTTGGAGCGCTTCGATAGTTGGGTTTTCAAACCGGTTGTAGCGACAGAATATCCCCTCCTTCAACGTTGACTACAAACACTTCTTGCTGGGTTCCGCCCACGGTTAGCCCGTTCCTGGCCGGCAGCAGGACCTAAGTCCCCCGCGGTTGACAGTTTAAAACTTGCATTTGTACAAATTTATAGTGTCGAGGTGCCCTGTACCCAAGGGTCGTCTGCAGGCGGTTAAGCCTTTGTGCAGTTCCAGATAGAAGTCTGTGTGATGTTCAGACCGATATCTGTGCAGACCGAAGTCTGCTGAGGCAGTGACCGAAGTCGACGATGTTGCTAAATGCCGCTTCTGGGACTTGTACTTTCTTTCTTCTTGTTCTTCAGTTTACTTGTAGAGGAGAGATGCTGAGGGATAGTTGGGGAGTGAGCACGGTGGGGCTCGCACACCTCGTGATGTTTCGCTACCATTACAATCATCTCATAAACCATCAATTCATTCATGACACCGTGTTACGTTCCACTGTACAAGACGTCATTTATCACACCGCATCTACGTATCATGAAGGTTCCGTCGTTGACAATCTTGTCCACGGCCACGTAGAGATGGGAAAATTGCTTGTTATTGCTGAGAGACGATCAGCAAGGGTATGAGATGAAGTCGGGATCCAACTTCGTCTTAGGGGGCACACAGAGTAGATAATTCTAAGGGAGGGGTATGGGTACAAGAAGGAATACATACCTGCTGACCATCCCACTCCTATGAACAATAGGATGTACCCTATTCATGCTAGCAGCCACACTCCTCAACAATCTACTGCACAAATTCTCTCAGTATTGGTATGCATCATATACGAGTTTGGTGTTCCAGAATTGGAATTCCATGAAATATTCCATGGGCGTTCATGAAACATTTCATGGATGTCCAAAATGTTTCATGGACGTCCATGGCCTTTCATGAAACATTTCATGAACGTTCATGAAATGTTTCATGAACATCCATGGTATTTCGTGAATATTTCATGAACATCCATAAACGTCCATGGAATGTTTCATGGACGTCCATGTCATGGACATCCAAGGAACTTTTCACGGAATGCCGTGAAAAGTCTAATGGAATTCCATGGACTTCCATGGAAGGTCACGGAAATTTCATGGAAGTCCATGGAAGTTCCATGGAATTCCATGGAAATCCCATGGTCTTCCATGAAACCTTTCATGGACTTCCATTAAATGTTTCATGGAAGACCATGGAAGTCCATGGAACGGAAATTTTCATGAAAAAGTACGAAAATGTACAGCCCCTGTACACTTGACGGATGGGTATTTCTTTCTCACGAGGTTTTCCAGAAGTCAATGTGGACCGGATGAGAAGAAGGGGTGCGATGATTGATTGTCAACCATGATGGCGTGTCATTGGCGATGAGTCGTGGTTGTCAGGAGCCGCACGTAAGATGTGTGGCATGTATGTCGCTGGTGCGACAGCGAGCCGGCATGCGGCCGTAATGACACAAAGTAAACCTTGCATGGGCCGGTTGTGCACGCACGAAGTGGGTCGTCGTGCATGGAATAATCGGTGGAGCGGCAAGAGGGCAAAACAAACCAAATGTATAGAGCTGGTTACGCTGGAGCGCATGTTTGCCGGCTCACGACCTATTGATCGTAGACCAGGATGGCGGGTCATCTGGAGATGATCCGTGGTGGTCAGGAGCCGCACGCAAGATTTATGGTATGTCTGTCGCTAGTGCGACTGCGAGACGGTACAATTGTATGCGGTCGTTATGACACATACTGAATCTTGCACGGACAGGTTGTGTACGTAGACTGTGGGTCGTTGTGCACGGGACAATCGGTGGAACGGCATCAAGACAGAACACTATATATACAGCTGGTTACGCTGGAGCGTAGATCGGCCGACTCACAGCCTCGTGTCTCGCCCACCTGGTGCTGGGCAGGGAGACATGGTTTGTCAGTTCTCCTGACACGTGTGTGTACGGAAACACAAATATGCGAGAGTACAGGGGACACAGAACCAACATGTCTATCGGCCTGTGATCAGACTACATGTACCACATCGGTGCGGCGTCTCCTTATGGAAACCACCGAAAGCGAATCGCTGTCGGCCGGTGTGTGTAGCGTGCATATCGTTCGCCCGTTGCGCATCAAGTGATGGATTTATCGCTGGCGCTGGTACGGGGGATCGAAAAAGGCTTACCACACGCGAGGGATGAATGTGCAAATCATAATTTGGTGGAAAGAGCCACAGCAAAGAGCCACAGCACACAAAGGTGTTCGCGAGCTCTTCGGCAGAGGTACCGGCGTACACAACAAACTTCGCATTTCATTGACCTATGCCCGGTGATGTCTAAGCACAATGCCTTACATCTGGTGTTGTGTGGTTCGCACCGGTGTGTGGACCGGGGGTTGCGCAGTAAGCGGAGTCATTGATGCGTGTTGACGGTCGCGAGAGGGTCCGTTACCGCAACTACACATGACCGTGGTGGGGCCACAGACATGCACGTTCGTTGGTCATCCACGCGTGCTGTACTGGGGTACACGGCCTGGCATATCACATTGTGTGCAATGCTTTGGGGGGTGCACGGTCCGAATGCGCCGGCAACAACACGAGCGAGGAGACGTTTACGATGCGCGCCGGTAGGCAGGTGCATACCGTGACGCGTGTACCTCGTCATCGTTCTCACGTTCTCGATATCTATTTTGCTTTGCTTGTGCCTTCATGCCCAATTGTCCCCCGTGATCAGGATATTGATCGGTATATCGGGGGCACGTCGTCCAGGGACGGAGATATGAGCGGGGACGGGAACACCTCGGATGAATCCGCTACTGGCCGCGAGGAGTACGCGGCGGAGAGGAAAGGACAGCACCAATGAACGGGCTGTCATCAGCGCGTCGGTTAAGACCTCAGGACCGACATGGCGGCAAGGTTCCCGGAGTTGCTGGAGACCGTGTGCGTCCGGGGCGGCGGGGCCGCGGCGGGTGGCGCTGCCGAGGTTGCACCAGCGCCGATGTATGGGGGCGCGGGTGCGAATGGCTTCTCGTCCGGCTACGGGTCACATCACGGTGGTCCAAGCCCCGGGTTGCTGCAGGGCGTTGGTCGGCGTGGTAGCGGGGGCGGCTTAAGGTTCGCTCCCGCGGTGCCGTCCCTGTTTGGAGCGGGAGGCTCACACATGGATTCCGGTGTATACAAGGGTGGAGCAGGGGTGTCGTCCGCCCACCGGCGGATGGAGAAGGTGATCAGGGACCAGCGGGTGAACGCGTTGGAGCTCGGCGAACGTCCGCATGTGGTGCTTCATACGCTGGAAGTTCTGCGAGCGACAATCTGCAAGTGGCCCTGCGCGCCACTGCTGTGCTTCTGAGTCCAAGTTACGGG